GGAGGACTAAGAAAATCACTGTACACACGAGGTGGTGGGAGGGGAGGAGGACTAAGAAAATCACTGTACACACGAGGTGGTGGGAGGGGAGGAGGACTAAAAAAATCACTGTACACACGAGGTGGTGGGAGGGGAGGAGGACTAAAAAAATCACTGTACACACGAGGTGGTGGGAGGGGAGGAGGACTAAAAAAATCACTGTACACACGAGGTGGTGGGAGGGGAGGAGGACTAAAAAAATCACGGTACACACGAGGTGGTGGGAGGGGAGGAGGACTAAAAAAATCACGGTACACACGAGGTGGTGGGAGGGGAGGAGGACTAAAAAAATCACTGTACACACGAGGTGGTGGGAGGGGAGGAGGACTAAAAAAATCACTGTACACACGAGGTGGTGGGAGGGGAGGAGGACTAAAAAAATCACTGTACACACGAGGTGGTGGGAGGGGAGGAGGACTAAAAAAATCACTGTACACACGAGGTGGTGGGAGGGGAGGAGGACTAAAAAAATCACTGTACACACGAGGTGGTGGGAGGGGAGGAGGACTAAAAAAATCACTGTACACACGAGGTGGTGGGAGGGGAGGAGGACTAAGAAAATCACTGTACACACGAGGTGGTGGGAGGGGAGGAGGACTAAGAAAATCACTGTACACACGAGGTGGTGGGAGGGGAGGAGGACTAAAAAAATCACTGTACACACGAGGTGGTGGGAGGGGAGGAGGACTAAAAAAATCACTGTACACACGAGGTGGTGGGAGGGGAGGAGGACTAAAAAAATCACTGTACACACGAGGTGGTGGGAGGGGAGGAGGACTAAAAAAATCACTGTACACACGAGGTGGTGGGAGGGGAGGAGGACTAAAAAAATCACTGTACACACGAGGTGGTGGGAGGGGAGGAGGACTAAAAAAATCACTGTACACACGAGGTGGTGGGAGGGGAGGAGGACTAAAAAAATCACTGTACACACGAGGTGGTGGGAGGGGAGGAGGACTAAAAAAATCACTGTACACACGAGGTGGTGGGAGGGGAGGAGGACTAAAAAAATCACTGTACACACGAGGTGGTGGGAGGGGAGGAGGACTAAAAAAATCACTGTACACACGAGGTGGTGGGAGGGGAGGAGGACTAAAAAAATCACTGTACACACGAGGTGGTGGGAGGGGAGGAGGACTAAAAAAATCACTGTACACACGAGGTGGTGGGAGGGGAGGAGGACTAAAAAAATCACTGTACACACGAGGTGGTGGGAGGGGAGGACTAAAAAAATCACTGTACACACGAGGTGGTGGGAGGGGAGGAGGACTAAAAAAATCACTGTACACACGAGGTGGTGGGAGGGGAGGAGGACTAAAAAAATCACTGTACACACGAGGTGGTGGGAGGGGAGGAGGACTAAAAAAATCACTGTACACACGAGGTGGTGGGAGGGGAGGAGGACTAAAAAAATCACTGTACACACGAGGTGGTGGGAGGGGAGGAGGACTAAAAAAATCACTGTACACACGAGGTGGTGGGAGGGGAGGAGGACTAAAAAAATCACTGTACACACGAGGTGGTGGGAGGGGAGGAGGACTAAAAAAATCACTGTACACACGAGGTGGTGGGAGGGGAGGAGGACTAAAAAAATCACTGTACACACGAGGTGGTGGGAGGGGAGGAGGACTAAAAAAATCACTGTACACACGAGGTGGTGGGAGGGGAGGAGGACTAAAAAAATCACTGTACACACGAGGTGGTGGGAGGGGAGGAGGACTAAAAAAATCACTGTACACACGAGGTGGTGGGAGGGGAGGAGGACTAAAAAAATCACTGTACACACGAGGTGGTGGGAGGGGAGGAGGACTAAAAAAATCACTGTACACACGAGGTGGTGGGAGGGGAGGAGGACTAAAAAATCACTGTACACACGAGGTGGTGGGAGGGGAGGAGGACTAAAAAAATCACTGTACACACGAGGTGGTGGGAGGGGAGGAGGACTAAAAAAATCACTGTACACACGAGGTGGTGGGAGGGGAGGAGGACTAAAAAAATCACTGTACACACGAGGTGGTGGGAGGGGAGGAGGACTAAAAAAATCACTGTACACACGAGGTGGTGGGAGGGGAGGAGGACTAAAAAAATCACTGTACACACGAGGTGGTGGGAGGGGAGGAGGACTAAAAAAATCACTGTACACACGAGGTGGTGGGAGGGGAGGAGGACTAAAAAAATCACTGTACACACGAGGTGGTGGGAGGGGAGGAGGACTAAAAAAATCACTGTACACACGAGGTGGTGGGAGGGGAGGAGGACTAAAAAAATCACTGTACACACGAGGTGGTGGGAGGGGAGGAGGACTAAAAAAATCACTGTACACACGAGGTGGTGGGAGGGGAGGAGGACTAAAAAAATCACTGTACACACGAGGTGGTGGGAGGGGAGGAGGACTAAAAAAATCACTGTACACACGAGGTGGTGGGAGGGGAGGAGGACTAAAAAAATCACTGTACACACGAGGTGGTGGGAGGGGAGGAGGACTAAAAAAATCACTGTACACACGAGGTGGTGGGAGGGGAGGAGGACTAAAAAAATCACTGTACACACGAGGTGGTGGGAGGGGAGGAGGACTAAAAAAATCACTGTACACACGAGGTGGTGGGAGGGGAGGAGGACTAAAAAATCACTGTACACACGAGGTGGTGGGAGGGGAGGAGGACTAAGAAAATCACTGTACACACGAGGTGGTGGGAGGGGAGGAGGACTAAAAAATCACTGTACACACGAGGTGGTGGGAGGGGAGGAGGACTAAAAAATCACTGTACACACGAGGTGGTGGGAGGGGAGGAGGACTAAAAAAATCACTGTACACACGAGGTGGTGGGAGGGGAGGAGGACTAAAAAAATCACTGTACACACGAGGTGGTGGGAGGGGAGGAGGACTAAAAAAATCACTGTACACAGCGACGAGGTGGTGGGAGGGGAGGAGGACTAAAAAATCACTGTACACACGAGGTGGTGGGAGGGGAGGAGGACTAAAAAAATCACTGTACACACGAGGTGGTGGGAGGGGAGGAGGACTAAAAAAATCACTGTACACACGAGGTGGTGGGAGGGGAGGAGGACTAAAAAAATCACTGTACACACGAGGTGGTGGGAGGGGAGGAGGACTAAAAAAATCACTGTACACACGAGGTGGTGGGAGGGGAGGAGGACTAAAAAAATCACTGTACACACGAGGTGGTGGGAGGGGAGGAGGACTAAAAAAATCACTGTACACACGAGGTGGTGGGAGGGGAGGAGGACTAAAAAAATCACTGTACACACGAGGTGGTGGGAGGGGAGGAGGACTAAAAAAATCACTGTACACACGAGGTGGTGGGAGGGGAGGAGGACTAAAAAAATCACTGTACACACGAGGTGGTGGGAGGGGAGGAGGACTAAAAAAATCACTGTACACACGAGGTGGTGGGAGGGGAGGAGGACTAAAAAAATCACTGTACACACGAGGTGGTGGGAGGGGAGGAGGACTAAAAAAATCACTGTACACACGAGGTGGTGGGAGGGGAGGAGGACTAAAAAAATCACTGTACACACGAGGTGGTGGGAGGGGAGGAGGACTAAAAAAATCACTGTACACACGAGGTGGTGGGAGGGGAGGAGGACTAAAAAAATCACTGTACACACGAGGTGGTGGGAGGGGAGGAGGACTAAAAAAATCACTGTACACACGAGGTGGTGGGAGGGGAGGAGGACTAAAAAAATCACTGTACACACGAGGTGGTGGGAGGGGAGGAGGACTAAAAAAATCACTGTACACACGAGGTGGTGGGAGGGGAGGAGGACTAAAAAAATCACTGTACACACGAGGTGGTGGGAGGGGAGGAGGACTAAAAAAATCACTGTACACACGAGGTGGTGGGAGGGGAGGAGGACTAAAAAAATCACTGTACACACGAGGTGGTGGGAGGGGAGGAGGACTAAAAAAATCACTGTACACACGAGGTGGTGGGAGGGGAGGAGGACTAAAAAAATCACTGTACACACGAGGTGGTGGGAGGGGAGGAGGACTAAAAAAATCACTGTACACACGAGGTGGTGGGAGATGAAGCATGCGATAGCAACGGCGGCTGACCGTATACGGCAGTCTGCGAACCCATGCCTTATTCGTGCCTGCCTTGCTACTCTACGCCTTTCCCCCTCTCCCTCTCATCCCCGATGGTTCGGCTGTTGGAGGGCGGTGGCAGTGTGAACGACATGCGGACGGCATCACCCTTGTTGGCCCCACCATCCCATGTTGGTGTTTCTTTTAAGAATTCTCAAAAGTGATACTCAGAAGTAACATCACCCTTGTTGGCACCACCATCCCATGCCCCCTACTCACCCTGTGCGCCACCCTTTTTTAGACGTCGCAGAAATACCCTTTTTACACCCTACTCACCCTGTGCTTTACCCCACACCTTTCTCACTACTCCCCATGCCCGTTCTCTGTGTCTCTCCCCCATCCCACCAGGTAGTGCGGCTGTTGGAGGGCTGTGGCAGTGTGAACCACATGCGGTCGGCATCACCCTTGTTATCCGGGCCCCACCAACCCATGCCTCCTAATCACACCATGCCTACCGTCCATGCCTCCCCAACCCTCAGGTAGTGCGGCTGTTGGAGGGCAGTGGCAGTGTGAACCACATGCGGTCCGCATCAGCACCCCCATGCGTCCTGACCATCCCCTGTCCAACCCATGCCTTTCCTGTGCCCCCCTCACCCCCCATTCCAGGTGGTTCGACTGTTGGAGGGCAGTGGCAGTGTGAACGACATGCGGACGGCATCAGCACCGGGGCAGAGCACCATGTTCAACGACCACCCCTTCGGGGGGGGCACTCAGGACTTTGATTCCCTTCCCTCCACCCAGATTGTGTGCCTTACCCCACACGCTCGCCCCACGCCTTGCCCCGTGCCTTACCCCTCACCTCTCCTGCTTCTCCCCGTGCCTTTTTCTCTCACCCCCCACTCAACCCCCCCAGGTAGTTCGGCTGTTGGAGGGGAGTGGCAGTGTGAACGACATGCGGACGGCATCAGCACCGGGGCAGAGCACCATGTTCAACGACCACCCCTTCGGAGGGCCCACTCAGGACTTTGATTCCGCCATGTATTCCGCTGAGATGCGCCAGCAGTACATGATGCCACATCAGCAGTCGCTGACTCATCAGTCGCAGTCGCTGACTCATCAGCAGTCGCTGACTCATCAGCAGTCGCTGACACATCAGCAGTCGTTCGAGCATCAGGAGCAGTTCGGGGGAGAGAGCGGGTACGGTACGGACAGCGGGTTTGAAGGCGGCTACGCCGGTGGTTCGGCGGTTGCAGGAGGTTCGGCGATGGGAGGTTCGGTGGCGGGAGGTCCGGCGAGTGGGAGGGGGCTCGTGCCTGGAAGCAGCCGGTTTGTGGGCCAGCCGTTGGAAACGGTGAGTCTCCCTGTAACCATGTGGTGTAACCACGTGGGGTTTCTTGTAACGTTTCAAAACCACTTTGCAACATTGAGGGCTCGTGCCTGGAAGCAGCCGGTTTGTGGGCCAGCCTTTGGAAACGGTGAGTCGCCCTGAATCCACGTGGTGTTTCTTATAACGTTCAAACGAAAGCATGCCGGGGCGATTTTTGAGGCGCCTCAAAAATCATATTTTGAGGCGCCTCAAAAATCGTGCGTGTGCTATTTGCCAGTGTGAGATAAGAGGTTTCGTCCAACCCTGATAGTCCAACCCTGATAGTCCAACCCTGATAGTCCAACCCTGATAGTCCAACCCTGATAGTCCAACCCTGATAGTCCAACCCTGATAGTCCAACCCTGATAGTCCAACCTTATCCATCCATCCCTACGAAGTATCACTTCTGTTTTTGCCTCCCTTGGTCTCTCCTCTCTTGCCCCACTCCTGGTCTCCCCCCTCTGGCACATCCCTTCCAACCCCAGCAGTGCAGATTGCACCAGCAGAAGCAGGGAGCCGTCAGTTGTGACAGTGGAAGCGCGTACCTGCTGGTCTCGCGTCTGTCCTTCCCTCCCTTGTTTGGTTTCTCCCTTGCCCCACTCCTGGTCTCCCCCCTCTTGCAAATCCCTTCCATCCCCAAGAGTGCGGGGTTGACCGGCAGAAGCAGAGAGCCTTCGGGGTACCTGGTACTTATCGTGTCCATGTCTGGTTTTCCCTCCCTTGCCCCGCTCCTGCTCCCTTTCCATTGGCAGATTCCTTCCAACCCCAACAGTGCCGAGTTCACTGACAGAAGCAGAGAGCAGTACTGAGGCGACTTTTGAGGCGCCTCCACTGTGACTTTTAAGGTGCCTCCAGTGTGACTTTTAAGGCGCCTCCAGTGTGACTTTTAAGGCGCCTCCAGTGTGACCTTTGAGGTGCTTCAAGGGTCATGAGGCGCCTAAGAAACGTTCCAACCCCAACAATGCCAAGTTCACAGACAGAAGCAGGGAGCAGTATTGAGGCGCCGCAGGGGGAGTCCAGAGTGGCACAAGCAGGGCTTGTAGCAGGAGACTCAGTGTATACATAAAAGAAAAAAGGAAAATAAAAAGAAAATGTGTGAGTGCGTGGCGTTTTTGGTGAGGAGAGGGAGGTGGGTAGGGGTTCGGTGTGGCTGGGAAGCTTGGTACAGGCTGAAGAATATTTCAGTATGAGCCGAATGTTTATGCATCACAAGCCAACTTGTTTCGTATACAGTTTTCCTGTGTGTACTGTACTCGATTAGTGAGAGTAGAACCTGGTGGTGCCGTGGACATGGTAGCAAGAAGTTTAATGTGGAGGTGTGGATAATGGTTGGCTGGTGTGGTATGTGGTGGGTGGGACAGCCCTGAAGGTGGGAAACTAGATGCCCTATATGATGCACAATTTTGAAAGTGTTATTCCATTATTTAGTCTATGTTATTGTCAAGCTGAGTCGCCACAGGATGCGCGGTGTTCAAAGCTTGTCCTTCCACCTCACCACTAGCGGGGTGCTGTGCCCAGGGCGGGTCCACCCCGTTCGTTTTCACAGTGCACCCGTCCTTGTGCAAGACGATTCCAGACGGTGCACAGCGGTTACCAAGCTTCACCGTTTTGCACCGTGACGCAAAAAGAGTAACCGCACAGAACGACGAAAGTCGAGCGCGCTGGACCCGCCCTCGACATAACACGCCTGTCCAGCTAGGAGCGTAATGCCCGGAAATTAGGGATTTTAGTCCTCCAATCAGTGCTGTACACCAGTCTACAGAGCCAGCTGAAACATCAAAAGTGATGCTTGGAATGGAATGGAACTTGAAAGCCAGCAACTGGGGGAGCGGAGTCAATGAAAACAGGCATGCAGCGCCATTCACACCCACTGGACCACAGGTGAGCTGTCCGAATGAAACCAAGAATTACCGCCAAAAGGGAAATTCGGGACTTCACGAATGCGGCGGGTCGCGAGTCGCGACAGAAGAGTCACATGCATCCGACAATGAAGGGTCTGCCCCTACTGTGGCATTCATTCCTTCCCATCCCAGCCGCACAAAGTTCTGGAGCTGACTTGCCGATGTTTCGTCACATGATCATTGCCGCGAAAGGGCCGTCCGCGAAACAAACGAACCACCCGTTACCATCGCGCCGTCGTGGTCACCGCACACGCCTTTTTGCGAAATTTGGTTATAGAATCTACACCACCTAGAAAATCTTCCCGCCGGGCCCTCAACCTCGAAAATCTAAACCTCGAAAAGGTCTTCTCGACTCCTTCGGCGGACACGGGGGAGCGGAAGGCTTGGGGGGAGCGGAGGGTTGGGTTGGGGGGGAAGCGGATGAACAGAGGAGGGCTGCGCTGGCGCTGTGTTGCGGAACTCTCCCGCGAGGGTTTCGACGGATTCGAGGGGAGTGGTCCCAAACCAAGGGTATCACATTCCCCCCCCCATCCCATTCCACCTTGCGTACAGTATCCGCATCGATTTTGCTTTCTATTTGAGCAAGTACTGTAGTGCACTTCCTTTGCCAGTTTGTAGGTGGTTCCGGCAAGTAGGTGGTTCCCGCAAGTAGGTGGTTCCCGCAAGTAGGTGGTTCCCGGCCCGGCAAGTAGGTGGTTCCAGAAGGAAACTGCATACAAAGGTTGTAGTAGCAGTAGCTTAGTCGTCTCAGTGGTCGGATCGCTGGGATGCCGCATCCACTCGTTTCCTACGACTTGTTTGAGTTCCCGCGTGCGTCAATCTCTATCACACTCGCAATATCAGTCCCTCCGACGTTCAGAAAGCGGTCGGTACTATCATTGCACGCTTCACCATGGAGCGGCTCCACCCCTATCATCCAATCTCATACAGATTCTATCAAACCTCCTGGCGGTTCGTGCCGGAAGGTTTACTCAGAAGGTTCAATCTCTGGTTTGGGGTCGTCCTATTCTTTCAGACGTATAGCTTTACGCTGTTGAAACGGAAAACTCCTGCTTGTGCTTCCTTCGTTTGGACGAGCCAACAAAGGCTCTAGTCCGCATCGCCAAAATTCAGCTGGCTCAGTTTCTGGTGTCACATGAGCCATCAGCTTGTTCGTAGTATTTGAATCTGAACGCTTAGTAAGGAGTGAGCTGCGAGACTCTGCGAAAGTTTCGCCACAATCTGTTTACCCAGCTTCTTTCGCCACTTGGCGAAGCCAGAATTTGTCAAGTGGTCAAGGGAACGGGAGTTTCAAGGCTGAAGCTCTTCCTGGGGTGCTTTGTTGGGCTAGCCTGGGAGCAATGAGGCCTGTGTTAAGTTCGGGATTGAAAGAGCAAGTCTCTGGAGGTGCTAAGGAGAAGAAGAAGCGGGTAACTGGCGTACCGTGGAGGCCGGAGGTACACGAATCTCCTTCTGTTGTGTGTGGTTTTTTTTTTTTTTTTTTTTTTTTTTCCCGTTTATTCGCCTTGATTTTCTCTTTGTTGGTGTGTGTAGGAAGACGATATATTATTGGCCCACGTGGCAAGGCATGGAACAAACAAATGGACACTGTTACAGTCCATGGGCCTTCTACCCACGCGAAACCACAAGGCCTGCTGTAACCGCTTTCTTGTGCTCAAAGGGTAAGTCATGCTCATGCTTTGCGCTGTGCCAAAGCGCCAGTGCTCGTAAATTACCCTAATACTTTCCCAAATGCGTCATTGATTGATCGGTTGTCGTGGATCGTGTGCGTCATTTGCTAGTCCTTTCTCAACATTACCTGACATTGCTGACTTTCTAACTTGACATTTCTTCATTCTGAATTGACGACGTTGTTGCAGCTATATTTACCTTCACAAGGAGGTGTTACAATTACACAAACATGTACGCTTCCTCATGTCTCCTCTCTCACATTCCCCTCTCCCCTTTCCCATGTTGTGCAGAAAGTTTTCCAATCAAAGCGAGGATACGACACACGGACACTTCGGTTTTCAGTTCGTCTCAAAGATTTAACCGAGGTACAGCGCACAAGGACCGGGACTGGAAAGCAATGATGCCGATAACGGTCAAGCCAAGAATCGCTAAGCACATGATGAAGCCAGCTGTCGTGCCGAATTGTTCAGGAGATGCATCCGAATCCTTTCTCGCCGGCATTGTTCAGAACATTCCAGGAATTGCTGCGTCCGGTTCATCTCTCAGCAGCTCATCGTGTCAGCGGCATCACCAGCAGCAGCAGCAGTACACACCGTATCAGCATCAGCACGCTTCAGCATTGGATATGCCTGAGACGGAGAGAATGACGACGCCGTTGGATTTTCAGGCTGGAGCAGCGACAACAGTGACTTGTCAACTCGGTATGGGAGGTGGAGCAGCAGCAGCGGCGACAGAAGCAGCAGCAGCAACGGCAGCAGCCGCAGCAGCAGAAGCCGCCGCAGCAGAAGCGACAGCAGCAGGAGCAGCAGCTGCAGCGGCGCGGGCAGCAGCGATGGTGGAAAGTGCAAGCGCAGCAGCCATTGCCTCACATTCTCCGACCCCATGCTCCTCCGCTCATCAACTCGCTCCATTGGCATTGCAGCGATGCTGTTCAACAGCACACTCAAGCCGTTCAGCATCGCAGCAACACTCCCCATCCTTACAACAGTTCCCCCCAGCCCCACAGAAACTCCTCCTAGCATCACGGCCGTTTCTCCCTGCGTCACCCTCCCAATCAGTCCCCCCTGCGTCATCAGGTACTTCAGCATCACCCCACGTTCCACCCCCTGCAACTTCTTCTCCTCACCCTGCAACCCCCTCTCTCACCTGCGCGCTCCCTCCTCCGTTCCCTCTTCCTCAAATTGACTCTAGCACTGGAACACTCTCACCAGAATCTTCACCCATGCAAGAGCTGAAGGAGGTCGAAGCCTTTCTCCTGGACGAATGGCCTCCTCAGCAGCAGGGCAGCGCCTTTGACACAAAGCTGAACATTCAGAGCACGTTGCAAGCTGAGCAGGATGGCATCTACAGCACTAAGTTAATCGTTCGGAGCACTTTGCAAGCTGAAGTGGACCCAGTGCCGCTTGAATATGCGACTTCTGGTGACGAGGCTCAAAGATTGATGCTTATTCAACCTGCAGGTTCTGATCTGATTGGCGTGGGCCGCGTTCCTCCAGTTGGCGCAGGTGCTGCTGATGCGCCTATTTTTTAGTCGACTCAAAACGAGGCTCACAGATTGATGTATGCAGGTTCCGAGCTTAATGGCTTGGGTTGCGTTCCTCCTGTTGGTGCGGGTGCTGCTGATGCGGATTTTTCCTCCCTTGCCGACTCAGCAAAGCACTCTTGTGATGCTGGTGCAAGTTCACATGGTTTTGTAAAGTGCCTCAAGACCGTTTCTCCTTGTCTACCTGGTCCGTGCTGCAATGCTGACATGTTTTTATCAAGCGTTGTGTCTAAGTTGGCTGCTGCTGCTGCTGCTGCTGCTGATGCTTATGATGCTGATGCTGGTGCTGCTGACGCAGTTGCTGCAATTGCTGCCGCTGATGCAGCCGATATCATCGCTGCAAGAGATGCAGTCGCTGCACTGGCTGCTGATCACGCCATCACATCTTTCCTCATCGAGGCAGAGTTGAGGAGAATCAACGACGCCCTCCTGCACTCATCTCCTACAACCAAGCCTTCACCCGGACATTCTCCTGGATTTTCACCCAAGTCTTCTCCTGAATCTTCACTTGCGTCAGCTTTGGAGGGCCGGATTCTCACGGAGGCGTCCCAAGGGCTCGTTACGTCGTCCCTACTCCATCCGGCAAGCCCTGTGCATCTTACTGCCCCATCTTTTCCCTCACTGCCAGCAGCAGCATTGCCCTCGGATATGTCCCCTTGGTTTTCACCAGCGTTGCCACCGTCTGCTGCTGTTT